GCCGCAGCCATGCCCGACTCCCCAGCTGAGGTGAAGATGCAGCCCCGGTCTACACCCCCCAGCATGCCGCCCCCGCCGCCCGCCGCCGCCCAGGGGGCCGCGCGCCCGCCCTCCTTCACGCCGCACACACGTGAGTGGCTCCGCCCCTCCCTCCCATCTGGACGCATGCAACCCTGCTAGAGCCCGTCGAAGGCCCAGTCCCAGCCCCTCTGCTTCCTGGCTGTGTGACCTCTGGCCTGGCTGGTCCCTGCCGCACGCCATTGTGAGTCAATGGACAGATAGATGCTCCGACATCTCATGAAGCGCCACACCATAACTCTTGCCACACTTCAGGGCACAGGGCTGCCCTCCGCATGCCCAGCACTGACGCAATGCAGAAGGAGCATGAGCTCCTGCAGCCAGGCCTCAGTGGCCATGAGGGTTGGTGGGGAGTGGTGAGGTTGGAGGAGCTGTGAGGTTGGAGGAGCTGTGTGGTTGGAGGAGCTGTGAGGTTGGGGAGGAGCTGTGTGGTTGGGGAGGAGCTGTGAGGTTGGGGAGGAGCTGTGAGGTTGGAGGAGCTGTGAGGTTGGAGGAGCTGTGAGGTTGGAGGAACTGTGAGGTTGGAGGAGCTGTGAGGTGGGAGGAGCTGTGAGGTTGGGGAGCAGCTGTGAGGTTGGAGGAGCTGTGAGGTTGGAGGAGCTGTGAGGTGGGAGGAGCTGTGAGGTTGGGGAGGAGCTGTGATGTTGGAGGAGCTGTGAGGTTGGGGAGGAGCTGTGAGGTTGGAGGAGCTGTGAGGTGGGAGGAGCTGTGAGGTGGGAGGAGCTGTGAGGTGGGAGGAGCTGTGAGGTGGGAGGAGTTGTGAGGTTGGGGAGGAGCTGTGAGGTTGGGGAGGAGCTGTGAGGTTGGAGGAGCTGTGAGGTTGGAGGAGCTGTGAGGTTGGAGGAGCTGTGAGGTTGGGGAGGAGCTGTGAGGTTGGAGGAGCTGTGAGGTTGGGGAGGAGCTGTGAGGTGGGAGGAGCTGTGAGGTGGGAGGAGCTGTGAGGTTGGAGGAGCTGTGAGGTTGGGGAGGAGCTGTGAGGTTGGGGAGGAGCTGTGAGGTTGGGGAGGAGCTGTGAGGTTGGAGGAGCTGTGAGGTTGGGGAGGAGCTGTGAGGTGGGAGGAGCTGTGAGGTTGGGGAGGAGCTGAGGTTGGAGGAGCTGTGAGGTTGGAGGAGCTGTGAGGTTGGGGAGGAGCTGTGAGGTTGGAGGAGCTGTGAGGTTGGGGAGGAGCTGTGAGGTTGGGGAGGAGCTGTGAGGTTGGAGGAGCTGTGAGGTTGGAGGAGCTGTGAGGTTGGGGAGGAGCTGAGGTTGGAGGAGCTGTGAGGTTGGGGAGGAGCTGTGAGGTTGGGGAGGAGCAGTGAGGTTGGGGAGGAGCTGTGAGTTTGGGGAGGAGCTGAGGTTGGAGGAGCTGTGAGGTTGGGGAGGAGCTGTGAGGTTGGGGAGGAGCTGAGGTTGGAGGAGCTGAGGTTGGAGGAGCTGTGAGGTTGGAGGAGCTGTGAGGTTGGGGAGGAGCTGAGGTTGGAGGAGCTGAGGTTGGAGGAGCTGTGAGGTTGGGGAGGAGCTCTGAAGGCTGACACTGTGTAAGGCAGGCTGGGTGGGAGGAGACACAGTGTGCAGCTCTACCGTCTGCTGTCTGGCCAGCCCGAGGGGAGGGTAGGCGCACACTGCTCAGGGGGTTTGGGGGGGGGGTACTGAGCAGGGCAGCCAGCACCTCCGGGCTCCTTTTCTTTGAGAAGTATGAGTCACAGACTCTGGGATCCAAAGCAGCTGGAAGCAGACCCCCAGTTTGGGCTGGTGTGGCTCCAGGGCACTCTGTCCCCCAGGTCCCTGGGGCAGGTCTGCATGCTCTGGTGGAGAGACGCGGTGTCAACCCCACCCAGCCCTCTGAGCACTTGTCTGGGAGCCCTGCTGCAGCCCCCAGTGAGCTCCTCAGGAAAGGGCCTTGTGACCGTACCTGCAGGGACTCGGCGCTTCCCAGGCCCCTCTTTCATGGACTGGAAGGCGTGGCCTCTGCCTGCCCAGGCCTGTGGCTGCCTTCTGGGGGACGGGGATCTCCCCTCTGGAGACTGGCAGCCTTCTGGGGGTCGGGGGTCTCCCCTCTGGAGACAGGCCTGGCGGTGACCAGGCCGTGTGAGACACCCTGTTCCCAGCTGCCAGGCGCCATCTCTAGACCCCTGTCCCGCACAGCACCCGCTGTGACTAGAGGCTCCAGACACCTGGTACCAGAGCCGCCGGGGCACACCGGGTGTGTGGTGTTCCGGGGCACACCGGGTGTGTGGAGGGGCCGCCGGGGCACACTGGGTGTGTGGAGGGGCCGCCGGGGCACACCGGGTGTGTGGTGTTCCGGGGCACACTGGGTGTGTGGAGGGGCCGCCGGGGCACACCGGGTGTGTG